GCTCTGGTGTTGTTATTATTATTAGGGATATATCCTAGCCTGGGTTTCAAACATGGCAGGATCTCTCCCAAAACACGTTGCCCAGAGCTAAGTGCAATATTTTGGGCGTGGCCGCGTTTGGAAGTTGCTCATCAAAGAGATTTTGGCTCCAGGGCTTCTCCTCTACCCTGGGTTGGGACACGAGCCCAACGAGGAGATAAATGTTGTGAAACCTCTCTGTGAATCCAGCCAAGATCTGGCTGGGGAGCACTGGGGGCACTGGGACCCTGAGACAAATTCCTGTTGGCCAAAATTAGCAATCAGAGGGAAAATGGAAACCATGGCTTTTCAGGAGAGGTGGAATGTCTATGGCATGGGATGCATCACCTCTCCAATTGGATCAGGGGAAGCAGCAGCCAGGGGAAGGTTTCCCATGGATTTGCTCAGATCTGCCCAGAGCTGAGCTGGGGAGCTGTGTCTGTGCCTTCCCCACTGGTATCCAGCCTCGCCCATTCCTGCAGCAACACGCCCTGGAAAGAGGCCAAATAATTGTCATACCTGGGTCCCCCCTTATCTCAGGAAGGTCGGGAAGCAGGAGTGTGCTGGAGTTCACCTCATGGCCAGCAGCTCTTTGGCATGGAGAGGGCTGGGTGCTCCCGTGCCAAGACAATGACTCCTCACTCTTGCCCTGCCAGGAGAATAATCCTATTTATGTAACTCGAAGTGAAGCATTCCAGGGCATGAATATTCAGCTCTTCCTGCAAATAGGAAGCTCTGTTACCTGCAGGATTGAACTCCCCAGCTGTCAGCTCAGCCCAGATCTTGCCCTGTGGCTGCTGATGCTGGTTTTGACAGCAGGAGGTTTTCTTTCTTTTTTTCAGTAAACACCATTTGCATGGGATTTTTTTCCCCCCTCCAGGATAGAAGGAACTGTGTTTTTCCTGGTATTAATGTCCCATTAATGTCTCCTTTGTCTCTCTAGGCAGTGGACCCATCCAACTGTGGCAATTCCTGCTGGAACTGCTCACTGACAAGTCCTGTCAGTCCTTCATCAGCTGGACGGGCGATGGCTGGGAATTCAAACTTTCCGACCCAGATGAGGTAGAGTTCCCTGCAAGGAGGTGCAAGACACAAATTCCACAGAAACATTGGTGTGGATAAGCCACTCCTCCTTTCTTTGGGGCTGGGGTTTGGGACAATCACGTTCTTCTAGCCTTGGGTATGTGGGGAAAGCAACGAATCCGAGTCCAGCTGGAAAGTGGTTAAAAATTGGGCAGCAGTGACACCTTGGGAGCAGCAATTTGGGCCCAAAGTGGGTGGGAAGAAGCTGAAACACCTCAGGGAGAGGAGCAGTGGCAAAGCTCTTCAATCAGGCTGTGGACAGGTGAGAGGGGGGATTGTCCACCGGTTTTGGGGAACAGATGAGATATTTATTGCCTTCCCTGACTGGAGTTGGAGTCAGGTGTGGGTCGGTCTCTTCTTCCAAGTACAAGCAACAGGACAAGAGGAAATGGCCTCAAGTCGCACCAGGGCAGGTTCAGTTTGGATATGGGGGAAATTTCTTCACAGTTTCTTCACAGAAAGGGTTGTCCAGCCCTGGCACAACTGCCCAGGGTAGTGGTGAAGTCACCATCCCTGGAGGGATTTCAAAGCCATGTGGATGTGACATTTGGGAACATGAGTTAATGTGGAATTGGCTGTGCTGGGGGAATGGTTGGACTTGATCTTAGAGGGCTTTTCCAATCTAAATGTTTCTGTGTATCCTCATGGAATCCCAGAACGTGCTGAGCTGGAAGGGACCCACAAGGATCATCCAGCCCAACCCTCAGCCCTGCACAGCCCCAGCCCCAAGAGTCACCCCCTGTGCCCCAGAGGATCATCCCAACCCTCCTGCAGCTCTGGCAGCCTTGGGGCTGTGCCCACTGCCCTGGGGAGCCTGTTCAGTGCCAACCAGCCTCTGGGGGAAGAACCTTTCCCTGAGATCCACCCTGAGCCTGCCCTGACACAGCTCCAGCCATTCCCTGGGGGCTGTCCCTGGTCCCCCCAGAGCAGAGCTCAGTCCTGCCCCTCCTCTGCCCCTGCCCAGGCAGTTGGAACTGCAGGGAGGTCTCCCCTCAGTCTCCTCCAGACTGAACCCTCTGCAGTGCTCTGGGTTGGTTGTCCCAAGCGCTGATGCTCGTGACCTGTCCATGTCCATCTCCTCGACAAGCCAAACAACGACAAGGGAAACCCTCTCCCTTCTCTCAAATCCAGCTGATAAACTTCCCAACCCAGCCAGACTGACCTTCCTCCCCCTTTCACCCCCCTCTCTCAGGTGGCCAGGAGGTGGGGCAAGAGGAAAAACAAGCCCAAGATGAACTACGAGAAGCTGAGCCGGGGGCTGCGCTATTACTACGACAAGAACATCATCC